CTAGCAAAGCCCTTTTCCCGGAAGAGCCACCGTGGGCTTCTTGGCGAGGACTCAGAGCTGATGGTTTCTGCGTGGATGGCAGTCACCAGCCCCGCAGGCTCAGGGCGAGGTTCCAAAATGTGGCTTCTCACGTTGGAATCACTTGAGTGCCTGAGTCCCATCGCCAGCGATTCTGATTTCACAGTTTGGAGGTGGGGGTGGGGAGGGGAGGGTGTTAGTGTTTGAAGCACCTGAGTGATACTGCTGAGCAGTTGGCTGAGAGAGCCAGTCTCAGAGCTGCTGCATTAGGTGCCCCTGGGAGTTTGTGATTAAGCAGAGGATGAGGACCTCCCCCCACCACCACCACCACCCCGCTCAGAGATCCGATTTTCAATGGGCATGCAAACCCTGGCACAAGAGGTAGGGATAAAGGTGAGCCAGTCACCCAGGACGCCCTGAGCTCCAGCAGAAGCCGATCAGGTGTTCACCGTGGTCCAGGCACTGGCCACTCCCTTCGGGTGAGCAGGAAAAGGCGCCCAGTGTGTGATGGAAAGCAGCTAAGAGAGGAGGCATGGCGTGATGGCACGTCTGTTCTTAGCAAAGAACTCTGCTGACTGACCCTGAGACGGCCTGGGTTTGAACGAAGCGAGTTCACTTACATGTGGGGTTTTTCTCAATAAATACTGCATTTCCTCTTTTGATTTTCCTGAATAACACTTTCTTTTCTCCAGCTTACTGTACTGTAAGAATACAGTGTACTATACATATCACAGACAGGCTGTCTGGTGGTCCAGAGGCCAGCCTCTCGGCCCCTCAGCCACACCGCGTCCATGTTGATTGGGCCCTCAGCGTGGCCCACTGAGCTGTCATTGTTCACAGTACAATTCTCACTTCTTCAAACCGCTGACTCCCTACCTTTCTTCTCACTCTCAGCCAATGGCTGTGCCTCCGACTTACAGAGAAAACAGAAGCCATCAGACCATGGCTCCTGCTCTCTAGCCACCAGGTGTGGAAACTTACCCACCTCTCTCTTCATGGCTGTCTGTGACACAACGTGATAGCTTCCAAGTCAGAAAAGGGCAAAACCATCAGAGAACAGACGTGTTCTTGCCAAGGGGAGAATGAAACCGTTTTATTTGGGGGAATGTTCAAACAAAGCCATATACAATTTGTAACAAATACAATACAGTTGTTTGTTCCCTAGTCCTGAATAATTACAGTATATACAAATTCAATAAGGCACTGGTTCCCCAAAAGAACACAATGAGTCTTCTTTTGAAACAGACAACAAAACCCTTTATTGCCAACTCTTCTCAAAAAAAAAAAAAATATGGCATTGTTTTTTCTGCTTTGTTTTACAAGAGGAATCATAATTGCTAAATTAAATCACTGCGGATGCCATTTTGTTCATTTCCACTGCTTTGTGACTGAGTTTTTTTTCCAAGGAGATATAACCACAGAACAATTCAAGTTTAAAAACTGTACTTCTTTCAGTGCCTTTCAAACTACAAACATGAAACGCTAGAACAGACCAGCAACATAAACACTGTAACTTCCAATGACTATGCTTGACTCTAGGAACATGAATTCTGATTGTTATTCGGTCCTTGCTCTATCTGACTACACAACAAGTGAAACAAAGAATTCCCTGTAAATAAAACCTTAGCATGTTTTCCAAGATGCTTTATGTTTTGATACTAAAAAAAAAAAATGGTCACTAGTTACTTGTGAGCGGTGCTTTCCAGGAGGTCAAAGGCCTGTCTCTTCACACACAATGTTCGAGAACTGTTACTTATGATTTAACAATCTACAATGCTTTTATAAATAAATATTAAGTTTCATTTAGTACTTTATCATCTCTAATATTTTACTCTCTAATCCACAAAAATGGAGTTGTGCCAGACTCCAAACTGAACAAAATATTTATATAAACATATATATTTATATAATATATATACACATAATAAACTATAAACCTGAATATCTTAGCATACAAAACTTATATTAGCTAGCAACTAATATTTTAGGATTCCTTTGGGGGGAGCAACTAGAAGAAAATCTTAGTCTTTGAAATAGTCCTGATAATAGGAAATCATCTACGTTATTAATTTCCAGGTCCCCACTTATTCTACAGAAAGGTGAAACGAAAAATAAAATAAAATACAATTCACTTCTTCTGAGCTACTAGAAATTAAAAAATAAAAAAAGGATTATTTGGAAGTAGGTAGTCTCTTTAAGAACAATTTAGGGTTCCTTAAGTAAGGTGAATTTTGTGAAGACAAAAACATCTATTCATGAATAAATGCTTGTTGCATTGAAAGACTATACTAACTAAATAAGTCTTTTGAAGTATCTCAGGAACAATTTTTAGACATTCATAATGAGTAAATCAAATTAAGAATTAGAAAGCTACTGATTTTTCCAAAGCAACTAAACAAATAATATAGAAGCTTCCTGCCATTCTTCAGTGGAAGCAACACCTCCCTAGAAATCTAGTTTTCTTTCAAATCATCACTTCACCACAAAATATTCTGATTTGCAGTTATCATGTATAAAAACTTACCTAAAAGAGCACACATTTTTTATCTAAGAAGTCCAACCTCACTTAAAGTTAGGGGGGAAAAATCAAGAAACAGAAACATGTCCCCAATTATGGGCATAAATGTTGACTTGTTTGTAGATGATCTGATTAGAGGTAATGAAGTTTCTCTCCAAGGCTCAGATGAGTATCACACACTTAGTTCTAGCCACATGTTCCTTCTAAGCTATCACAAAGAATACAATTTGACACAAGAGAAAGGAACGGTTACATTGCCGTTCAGGTTATTCTAATAACACCAAAAGCAGCATTCTGATTGAAATTCTACTTGGAGCCCACTGTTTTTAATCTCTGTAAAAAAACAAATTTTGTTCATATTCAAGAACTTTTTTAAAAACCCACTTAGGTTTTTGTTACAAACAAAATGTGGCCATGAAGCATGGGGAAGTCAAAGCTGAATACAGAACACCGTGTTTCTTAGGATGCTCTTAGCCTGTAAGCGCAGCTCACAATCACTCTCTGCTCGAGGGTGTTTTTTGAATGAACAAATCGCCAGCTGCACGCCTACTTCAGAAGTGAAGAGAATATGTTCTCATTTTTCACGCCGCTGTCAAAATTTCAAAAAACTTCCATTCTTCAATCACCAAGTGGTGCAAATGTGTTATAAAACACTGCCCCCTTCAGGATTCTGGAAGGAATGCCTTTTATTTATTTATATATATTTTTTAAGACTAGGGAGAAAGTATTTCCTGATTCCTTATTAAATTACAGAATTTCTAAAAAGTAAAAGAAAGCCATGGTAAGAAAATGTAAATGAATAAAGGTGAGGGCGATGTGTAGAACTTTGAAGTTGATGTTCCTGTTGCTCAGGAATGTTGGGCCAGTCCATGATTGGACTCATGTGTCTCAATAGTGGAAACTCTGCAGAATTAAGTGGGTGAAGAGATGTTTTACACAAGTGCCACAGAGAATACAAAAATAATAAATTAAAAAGTGAACTGAACATAATGAGAATAAAATAAAATAGAGGCAGCATGCCTAACAATATGAAATGACCACTTAAAGGATGCACATGCTAGATCAATATCTATACTAGAAAAATAAATCACAGCAGCCTGAATATTTTTGTGGCTTCCACTAACTCTCCTCTGTGTGTCCCATTTGGAGGACATAGTTGTCTATTTTTAAATTAAAATTTAGTTACATTAACCTGACCTATGCTTCCTCTCCTTCCCTTAAGTCAGACACCAGAGACAGACAATGAAAGAAACTGGCTTTATCTACAATACAGAGTAAGGTGTGCATCATTTACCGTCGTGCTTCTGAGATCGGCTCTTCTGCATACATAGGAAGCAAGCCACGTGCACCTACCACCGCATTCTCTACCTTACCAACACGGTCATCTTACAACACAAGAGCCCATGATCTCTGTTTCAAAAGGGTGTGGCCATCAACTCGGCTGAAGGCAATTTCATTGAATATTGATCCTTTCCTTTGAGAGATCAAAAGCATGCAGCGGTCAGTTCTCTGCACATAAAATTTTTTTTAAAAAAAATCTTTGCTTGTGTTCAATGAAAAGGAAGAGATCTGACCGTGAACGAGAGGCCTTACAGAATCAGAAACACAACGTGGTTCTGAAGAACACTGACACTTCTAACAGAAGAAGCACACAAAAGCTTCATTTGTTCCATATCCTCCAAAGCTGCAAAAGGTCACCTGCAGGAATCCCCAAACGGATGCCGGACAGGCAGGATGTGTGCCCAGGTGCATTCACATTGCTGTGGCAGCCCCCACGCAGGGCTGACCGAGTGGTCACAGCAGGCAGGGGCGGGCTTCTCAGACAGTCCCATTCTGTGGGCTCCAACCTCACAAACTGTCTGTTGGTTTGTAGAGTGCAACAACATTTTACCAATAATAATAATTAAAAAAATACTTTAATTTCCTTTCTAGCAGAATTTCTGTAAAGAACTCTCATTGTGATTATTTAAACCAGAATAGGAACAACCTTCAAACATCTAAATTCTTTGTTATATTTTGGCAAAACTAAAGCGTCTTTTGAAAAAGAAAAAAAAAAAAAGGAGGGGGTGGGGGGCAATCCCAAAACACAGGGCTTTCTTAGAAAGCAACATGCACCATGTCTCAAACAAGTTCCCCGAACGGTTTCAACCTCCTCCAGACACAATAGGTCCCTGCTTCTGGGAACGTCTGCCTTTGTCCACGGTGCTCCCCAAGTGGTGACACTGAACCCCTGGGAAGCAGGGCTGTTTGATGCTTGTCCTATGGATGCTTCGGGAACATTTTCTACTCTGCCACAGAGAGGAAGAGCTGGCTTTCTCCATGATGCTTTCTTTTCCTCTTTTCTCTTTTCTTTTCTTTTCTTTTCTTTTCTTTTCTTTTCTTTTCTTTTCTTTTCTTTTCTTTTCTTTTCTTTTCTTTTCTGTTCTTTCTTTTCTTTTCTTTTCCTTCGTTTCCCCCTCTCAAATCAGAGTTTAATGTCCTGGGACTCTGACATTTTGGCGAGTGTTTTCTTCACACGCAGGGCTGTCAGTCTGGATGCGGGGTTGTGAGCCCAGCACTCAGTCATGAGTTTCCCCATCTGCCTCAGACACTGCAGGGAGAGAAACAGAAAAGTGGAAGTTGCGTTAGAGACATGTATTTATTATGTGCCAGGCTGGCCCTTGGTATTTGGCGTTTGATTTTGAGTTTCTGGAGTTTAGATATATTTTCAATAGCTCCTTTTAAAACCATGTAGACAACAGTTCAGAACACTTGGTTTTTCATGCAAATTTTCAATGTCTAAGACAGATTTTCATAATATCCCTCTAATAGGTGCAAACAAGTGGTTCTGCTGATTGAAGAAGAGTGTCTTTTAAAGTCAGTATTAAATAAATACAAAAATACGAAGAAAGTTTGTATTCCACTCCCCGCTCCTGGTTTGTTTACAACATTTGATCAGCTTAAATCTTTTATCTCATTCCATACTATTCAAACAAACACGGTTATTCCTAAGTCACAGCTGTCTGCTACAATAAAAGCATCACACTGTTGCTTTTAACAAGATGCATGACCTGTGCTGGGCCTTGCTAAAACTTTCTCCGACATCAATTATTGGTCTTCCTGTTGAAAGCACAATTTCACTTCATTAGGAATCCTCAGTGAAGGAATCTGGGGTAATACCAGTGCCTGTAACCAGCTTCAAAGTAAGGTAACTTCAGCATCTCATAAAGCTTTCTGCATAGCTCATTGGAAAACATGTGTATTATCTAGCATACAACCAGTGAGCCATAGGTTGTTTTTAAATGCATTTAATAGTGAAGAATTATTTCATAAACAGTGTTCTGCCCACTTGTTTGCCCTGGCTCTGGTACATATCTGAGGCTCAGGCATCTCTGAATGTGCCAGCTTGCCAGAGCGCTCTAGGATTTAGTGAGAGAACAAGCTTAGAGGATGGATGGAGAGGATGTGAAGCAGATGAGTCAGGAAAGGTAAGCCCCGCCCCACTCAGTTTCTCCTTATGCATGGCTTCTTTGTCGACCTGTTTTAGGTTTCACCACTGTACTCTGACAGCCTCGTTGCACATGGATTCCTTCAAATCAAATCTCAGCATCCTTATTAACTAAGATCCACAGCATCTCATCTAGGTCAACTTGTGTCACTTCTATGTATAGAAAATGGCATTTTTTCAGATGCCTATCTTTTCTCTCATCAAAATGTGAGAATGTGGCACATGGGTTCTTCATGGAGAAAAACTCATGATGCTTTAAAACACACACACCCCCCCCCCACACACACACACACAAACGGGGGGGGGGGGAGAGATGGCAGCTGAATAGGCAGACATGTCCTGCACCTTGTCCCAGAGTAGAGAGAGAGAGCAACTGAATCGAATAACATTCACCTTGAATTGGCAAATTAGACACAGCTTCTGAGACAATTCACAGCCGGGAAGGGCAGAGGAGGCCTGGAGAATGGCAGAATGGGGGATCTGACTGGAGAGAGATGTATGACCACTGGGCCAAGAGAGTCAGAAGGAAGCTGCACTGTACCAAGTCTACATCCATTGAGGAGAGGTGTAACATCCGACTGTGGAAAGAAAGTCCACAGGGATGCTGACAGCTGTGGAATCTAGATCTAAATCCACAGCCACAAGGGGCTGCGCCCAGAAGGGTGACCTGAGCCGCTGGGTGTAAGGGGGAGAGAAACTGGCAGTCACAAGGTTGTTCTCCCTTTTTTGTCTTTGCTTTAGTTTGCTAAACCCCCTTCATGGGACTTTCAATTGCAAACACTCACCCAAGGCTGTGATGCAGATAGAGGTGCATATTTGTGGAGTCTGGGGAGAGTTGTTGGAGGAGAACAGGGCAGGGACAGGTGACCAGGAGTCTGGCACCAAGACATTCGTGACCCTCCAAACCTAAGCAGCCATTTTTCTCCTGGAGAGCCAGCCCCTCCCAGCTGCCTCAAGACAGCTAATACAGACACGGCCAGCCTACCCTTTGAGCTGTACAAAGGAAATAAAGACTGAAGAGCCCCACAGAGCCCTCAGGGACTGGGTGGAACAGGGACTGTTCAGTACTAGAAAGCGATATAGCACCATCACCCCCACCTAGAGCCCTGTCAGAAACAGATGCTTGAGTGATTTAGATTGACAGCAGGCAGACAGGCAAAGCTGGCAGATTGGTCCCTCCTGCTTACAGCCAAAGCTGTGGAGATAGACACAAACAGAGGAGTGGATGATCACTTGGAACTGCAACATGATGCTAACTACATAACAGGAAACTGAAAAGTGGTAGATAGAACAGAAGAATGGTGTCTTAAACCAGCCCCTATGGGGCAATACAACTAGACTGAAGTGAATAGCACTTCATTTTTTATTTTTTATCTTTTATTTGAAAAATACATATATTTTGGTTTTTATCTTTTTTGTATTATTTTTTTTCTTCACTCTATTTTTATTATATCTTATTTTTTTTATTTTTTTCACCTTTTACTCCTCAGTTCTCCCCTTTACATCCTGTTTTCTCTTCTCCTGTCCTCACTTTATTTTTTCTCTTTCCTTTCTTTTTATCCCTTGTTAAAAGTTGATCTTCTTTATCTGTTTTAATGAAGTGTTATTATTACTGTAGTCTCTGTTGGCTTACTCATATATCTAATTTCCTCTCCCCTATTCCAAGTCCATGCATATTTTTCTTTGCTAGTCAATTTTTTATGCTTTTGTTTTTCTTCTCCTCTCTTGTTCTCTACTTCTCCTAATAGTTTCATTAGTTTCAGTCACTCAACTCAAACCTATCTGCTCCCTCCTCTATTCTCCTTTTCCAAAAATAAATGAATAAATAAAGTTAAATTTAAAAATGTTATTTAATCTATCATCTATCAATCTATCGATCTACCTATCTATATATCAATTTATTTTTATTTTCCTCTTATCCACCTATTCTCTTTATATATTCTCTATACTGAACTGTGGTCCTTCCCCTATTGATTCAATTCCTTAACCTTACTTTCTGTATATAAGTTCTGCCTCTATAGATTCTGTACCCAACTTTTTATGGGTGTTTACAGTTTGCATTTTTTTGGTTTGTTTGTTATGTTATGTCTCTCCCCATATACATCTTTTTTTTATTTCTCTCTTACCTTTTTTCTTTTTTCAATATTATTTTTGCTCTCTTTTCTCTCTCCTAATTATCTTTTCTCTGATGGTCACTTTTATTGGGGTTATCAGTGCCGTGAGTGCATTCATGTTTTGTTCCCTTTGTGTTGGGTCTTGTAAAGCTGTTTTATGTGCTGTTTGGCCAACATGATAGAGAGCCACATAACCAGTCACCCTGAGAGGAGACTCCATCCACAATGGGACAATAACACTCAAGACCCAACTATACCAAGAGAATACAAATATCCTATTCTCTTGGTATAGTTGGGTCTTGAATATTATAGTTGGGTCTTGAATATCTCTAGAATACCCAGTCCAGAAAACCCAAGAGATTGCACCAATAGGTCCCACAAAATGTCTCCTACATAAGACAAATACAAAAAATCTAAGTGGCATTGCAGTATGATCTAATACATATAAACAATCACAAAGGAACATCAAAAAATGGGGAGACAAAGAAACAACCCCAGTATGAAAGGAGGAATCTTCAGAAAAGGAAATAAACAAAATTGAGGCAAGAAATTTATCAGAGAAATAATTAAGAGCAATGGTAATAAGGATGCTGAAAAGGATGAAAGACAAATTCAACATGTATGAGAATCAAGAGGAAATGAAGAATGACATAGCTGCAATAAAGAACACAATGGAAAGTTTCAACAGTAAACAAGAAGCTGAGGACTGCAACAGCATGTTGCAAAACAAGGCACACACAAAAAAACAACACACCAAAGCAGAGCAGCCACTGAAAAAGAAAAAAAAAACACATAAAAAGCAGGAGGAAAGTCTAAGAAAGCTTTGGTATGACATGAAACAACATGAAACAAAACAACATCCACATAATAGGAGTGCCAGAAGGAGACAAAACTAAGCAAGGAAAAGAAAACCTGTTTGAAGAAATAATGACAAAAAACTTCTTTGGTTTGGGGAAGAAAAAAGTCACTTAAGTCCAAGAAGCATACAGAATCTCAAACAAGATGAACCCCAACAGTCTGACACAAGACACATCATAATTAAGTTGACAAACACCAATTACAAAGCAAGAATCTTAAAGGCTGCCAGAAAGATAGAAAATTACCTACAAGCAATCTCCCATTAGACTATTAACTGATTTCTCAATAGGAACACATCAGGCCAGAAGGAAATGGAATGAAATATTCAAAGTGATGCAAAGCATACTATACCCATTCAAAATCAAAAGTGAAATAAGGAGCTGCACAGACAAAAAAAAAAAAAAAAAAAAAAAACCTAAGAGAGTTCATTACCACCAAGCCAGCAATGCAAGAAATGCTAAAGAAACTGCTGTAAAAAGAATAAATAGAAAGTGGAAAAGGAAGACAGGAATAAAGAATAAAAATGGCAAAAAACAAAAACAAAAAAAACAAGTACTTATCAATAATAACCTTAAATTTAAATGGATTAAATGCCCCAATTAAAAGATGTAGAGTAGCAGAATGGATAAGAAAACATGACCCATGTTTTCGCTGTCTACAAAAAACCTACCTCTGAACAAAGGACTTGCATAGGCTGCTAATGAAGGGATGGAAAAAAAAAATTTCAGGAGAATGGAAATGAAATAAAACCTGGGGTAGCAATACTTATAACTGAAAAAATAGACCTCAAAGTAAAGGCCATAATAAGAGATAAGGAGGGCACTTCATAATACTAAAGGTAGCAATTTAACAATTCAACAGTAGATAAGAAGCTGAGACTGCAACATAAAAAAACCTTCTGCAAGATTTGAAGGGAGAGATCTACAGCAATACAATCATATAATAGTGGACTTTAATACCCCATTGACACCACTGGATAAATCCTCTAAACAAAAAATTAGCAAAGAAATAGCAATCCTAAATTACTCACTAGATCAGATAGAATTAATTGACATCTTCAGAATATTTCACCCTACAAGTTGAATATACATTCCTCTCAAGTGCACATGGTACATTTAAAAAGATAAACCACATATTAGGACACAGGCAAAGTCTCTTAAAATTCAAGAAAATAGAAACATATCAAGCATCTTTCCAGACCACACTGGCATGAAATTATAAATAAACTACAATAAAAAAATCAAATACTTGGAGGCTAAATAGCATGCTATTAAGCAATGCTTGAGTTAACAAAGAAATCAAAGAAGAAATAAAAAGCATCCTGGTAACAAATGACAATGAAAACACAACAACCCCAAATCTATGTGACATAGTGAAAGCAGTCCTGACAGGGAAGTTCATAGCTCTACAGGCCTATCTCAAAAAAACAAGAAAAATGGTAATAAATTATCTAACCCTACAACTTAAAGAATTAGAAAGAGAGGAACAAGAAAAGCCCAAAGTGAGCATAAGGAAGTAAATAATAAAGATCAGAGCGGAAAGAAACAACATGGAAACCAAAACACAATACAAAAGATCAATAAAATCAAGAGCTGGTTCTTTGAAAGGATAAATACGATTGTTGAACCTCTAGCCAAACTCACCAAGAAACAAAGAGAGAGACTCAAATAAACAAAATCATAAAGGAAAGAGGTGAAGTAACAACTAATTCCACAGACATTAAAAAAAGTTTTGTAAAAAAATACTATGAAAAACACTACTCCAACAAACTAGACAACCTAGGTGAAATGTACATGTTCCTAGAAAAATACAATCTTCCCAAACTCAGTCAGAAAGAATAAAAAAACTTGAAATAGGTGAATAACTACTGATGAAATTGAAGCAGTAGTCCAAAAACTTCCAGAAAACAAAAGTCCTGGTCTAGAAGTCTTCACAGATGAGTTTTACCAAACATTCAAAGAACTAAAACCTATCCTCAGACTTTTCAAAAAAATTCAAGAGGAAGGCACACTTCTAAACTCTTTCTATGAAGCCAGCATAACCCTAATCCCAAAACCAGATAAAGACACTACAAAGAAAGAGAATTACAGGCCAATATCCCTCATGGACATAGATGCTAAAATCCTCAACAAAATTCTAGCAAATCTGATCTAGGATTACATTAGAAAGATCATATACCATGGCCAAGTGGGATTCATCCAGGGATGCACAGATGGTACAATATCCAAAAATCAATTAACACAATACATCACATAAATTGAGAGACAAAAAATCACAGAGTCTTATCAATTGATGCAGAAAAAGCTTTTGACAAAACCCAACACCCTTTCTTGATAAAAACTCTCAGAAAAGTGGGAATAGAGGGATCATACCTCAACATAATAAAAGCCTTATATGACAAACCTACAGCCAATATCATACTCAATGGGCAAAAACTAAAACCATTTCCCTTAAGAACAGGAACAAGACAGGGATGCCCACTTTCACCATTCCTGTTTGACATAGTACTAGAAGAACTAGCCATAGTGACCAGATAAGAAGAAGAAATAAAAGACATCCAAATTGGAAAGGAAGAGTTATACTGTCATTATTCACAGATGAAATGATATTATGCTTAGAAAACCCTAAGGATTCCATTAAAAAACTACTAAGCTTAATATATTAATCCAGCAATGTAGCAGGATACAAAATTAACACCTAGAAATCTATGGCCTTCATTATATTCCAATAATGAATTCACAGAAAGAGAAACTAAAATAAAACTCATTATCATTGAAACAAAAAAAACTAAGATACCTAGGAATAAACTTAACTAAGGAGGTAAAAGACATGTACTTGGAAGTCTATAGAACATTGAAAAAGGAGATAGAAGAAATAAACAAATGGAAGAAAATACCATGTTCATGGATTAGTATTAGAATCAACATCATTAAAATGTCCATACTACCCAAAGCAACCTACAGATTCAATGAACTCCCCATTAAAATACCGGTGGCATATTTCATAGCCCTAGAACAAATTCTCCAAATATTCATATGGAATAAAAGTAAGTAAGTAAATACATAAATAAACCCAAATAGCTGCATCAATCCTAAAAAAAAAAAAAAAAAAAGGAGGAACAAAGTTGGAGGGATCACCATACTAGATATCAAAGCCACTGTCTTCAAAACTGCCTGGTACTGTTACTGGCACAAGAACAGACATATAGACCAATAGAACAGAATGGAGAACCCAGAAATCAACACAAGCCATTATGTTAAATTACTATTTGACAAAGGAGGCAAGAGCATACAATGGACAAAAATAAGTACTGATGAAATAGTCTCTTCAATATATGGTACTGAGAAAACTGGACAGATACATGGAAAATCATGAAACTTATACCATAGACAAAAATAAACTCAAAACGGATAAAGGAGTTAGTCATAAGATGGGAAACCACAAAAATCTTAGAAGAATTCATAGGCAGCAAAATATCAGACATATATCATAGCAATATCTTTACTGATACAGTTCCTAGGACAATGAAAACTAGGGAGAAAAATAAACAAATGGGACTATGTAAAAATAAAAAGCTTATGCACAGCAAAAGAAACAATCAACAAAACATCAAGAAAGCTCTCTGCATGGGAGAACATATTTACCAATATTATACCTGATAAGGGTTTAATCTCCAAAATTTACAGGGAACTCATACAACTTATAGTAACAAAAGAAAGATAAACATTCCATAAAAAAATGGTCAAAGGACCTAAATAGATACTTTTTGAAAGAAGACAAAAACACGGACATAGGCCATGAAACACATAAAAGCACGCTCAAAAGTCATTAATCATCTGAAAGATGCCAATCAAAACAACAATGAGGTACCATTTCACACCTGTCAGAATGGCAATCTTCAACAATTCAACAAATGATAAGTACTGGTGAGGATGTGGAGAAAAGAAACCCTCATGCACTGCTGGTGGGAATGCAGACTGGTGCAGCCACTGTTGAAAACAGTATGGAGTTTCCTCAAAAAATTAAAAATGGAACTCCCATTTGACCCAGTAACTCCACTTTTAGGAATATATCCTAAGAAATCAGAAACACCAATTAGAAAGAAAATATATGCACCCATATGTTCATAGCAGCACAATTCGCCATAACTAAGATTTGGAAATAGCCTAAGTGCCATTAGCAGATGAGTGGATTTAAAAACAGTGATACATCCTCACAATGGAATACTACCTTGCTGTAAAAAAAGAAGGAACTCTTACCATTCGCAACAGCATGGATCGACTTGGAGAGCATCATGCTAAGCGAAATAAGTCAGTTGGATAAAGATAAATATCACATTTTCTCACTCATTTGTGGAATATAATGAACAACATAAACTAATGAACAAAAATAGGTCTAGAGACATAGAATCATTGAATAAACTGTCAAACTTCGGGAAGACAGGGAAGGTGGGGGAAGGTTGGTCAACCAAAGGACTTGTATGCATGCATAAGCATAATCCATAGGCACAGACACTAGAGGTGTGAGGCATGTGCTTGGAGTGGGAATGGCTGGGGAGAGATCAATAGGGGGAAAAGGAGACATATGTAATACTTTAAACCAGTGCTTCTCAATCTTTCTAATGCCGCGATCCTTTAGTACAGTTCCTCATGTTTGGTGACCCCCAAGGATAAAATTATTTTCATTGCTACTTTGTAACTGTAATTTTGATACTGTTAATAAATCATAATGTAAATATCTGTGTTTTCCGATGGTCTTAGGCTCTACAGCAGTGGTATACAACCTGTGGGAATCACTGCTTTAAAGAATAAAACTATTTTAAAACTAAAAACTAAATATATACATATACACACACACATACACATACACACAGAAATGGGGCCTTTATGCCACTGTCAGGACATCACAAATAAATGAAATAGTAATGTTATCTGTTATGATGGCTAAATGTTAACCTACTAAATATATTTTGGAAGCAGCAAAATCAAGTTAGAAAAAAAGGATCAATTTACCACATTATACTTAACACTATAGAAATTATCACAGTGAGGCATCACAACTATCACCGACAGAACAAAGAAGAATAAGAACTCCTTCAATGAATATTTAGAATTCTGACAAAAAAGTAAAAGTTCTATAGCACATGGCTTCCTGGAACTTACTTACCTCATCGCCACTCCACCGGCTGGGGAATGAGGGACGGAGCTTCTTGATGCACACAATCTCTCTCATGTCCTCGTAAGAGGGGTCACTGGGCACCAGGTCGTGGTAGGGAAGCTGGTATTCTTCCACTGCACCTGAAAATATGGCTTTATTGTTATACTTTTTCTGTGCAATGGCAATAAAAGTCTACCATACAAACTGTTCTAAAATAAAAATCCTGTTGGTACTAAAGACAAGCTTGAAAAACAGCAAAATAAATCTTAAAGTAAAAGTTCCCCAATGACATTTAATCTAATTTTTAAATGAAAAGCCCAATAAAACATATTACTGTAGGCCTTCAAACCTTTTCTTCTAATTTCCAAAAGCTAAGTAAAATAAGCACCTCAAATTTATTTCCAATTTTACAAAGGTTCTTGTATGCCAAAATTTTAAAAAATCTATATTAAATCTCCATGCAAATTTGGCAGACACATTCCAAATTCATACATATGTGATAATTTCTATTACTGCAATATGAGGTTATGAATCTCATAATAAATTTGGCAGTGTATACTACTTGAATAAAATGTCACATTTACATTTTTTCTGCTTAATCATAAGAATGCATTCTTCCATATTTAAAATTTAGAGAATTGTACACACCTAAAAATATTAAACCTTGATCAGCAACCTCCTGGCCTTTACTGGGATTAATCCTGTGGCCTGGGCATGTGCCCTGACCAGGAAATGAACCAGCAACCACTTGGTGCATGGGACAACACCCAAGAAATTGAGCCATGCTGGCCAGGGTACCCTCGGTTGTTTGTAAGCTAAGAATCATTTTGCCCATATTATAACCACAGGCTTTCAAATACAGGCTTCTTGTTGCCCTAATTGCTTTAGATGTTTAGGGAAACATAATTTGAAAAGTAATCTTATATTCTCCTCTTTCTTCAATCTCTATAAATTTATCTCTCTATATATAAAAGCCTAAGCAACCGTTATGACTAGTTGACTGAACAACCAATCAACCGGTCAGTATGACACACACTGACCACCAGGGGGCAGACGCTCAATGCAGGAGCTGACACCTTGTGACAGTATGCTCCCACAGCCAACTTCCTGCAGCTGGCCAATTTCCCTCAGTCTCTACCCTTAGGTGGCCAGGTGGTCAACCTCCCATGGTCCCTCCCCCTGGCCAGCCAACCTCTTGCAGTCCTTCCTGCTGGCTGGCCCCAATTAGAACTGGGCAAAATGGCCCAATCAGCCCCAATTGCCAGCCAGGCCAACGGACCTCACCTGTGCATGAATTCGTGCATCAGGCCTAGAGTCTTAAATAATTATAAACATTTTATTAAAAAAAATGCTCACTTACACTTTACAAAACATAAAATCAAAGCATAGGCAGTTAGTTAATTTATGTTTTGGTTACTCCTTTTCTTCTTCATAATATGATGGGAGATTTATTCAATATCTGAATCAGAAAAAAATGTTCTACATTAACTTCCCTTTGGGACAAAAAGAGTTCTTTCACTTCAGGGGGGATGTGCTCTATTTTAACTTAAGCTAATGAGAAGTTCAGAATCCCTATAGTGATTAGGAGGTACCACATCACTGAAGATGATCTTCCTACTGCAGTATGAATGCCTATTGATTAACTGTTTCTCCTTTATATTCCAATAGGATTCTAAATGTAAGTTAAGGCTCTACCAACCAAAATGAAAATTGAAAATAACATGTATTAAGTACTATTTATGGGTCAGGCAATGTTAATTCTCTTTACAATCATGAAAACCTCACAACCCTCTGAGGTAGTGCAATAATCCATCTCCCTCTTAAGAAAATTGAAACAAAGAAAAGTTAGGAACTTATCAAAGGTTTACAGATACAAGTGCCAGGACTAGTTAACTGTAGGCTACACTTTCAGAATATTGGGCAAGCTCCAGTTTTCATGAAAGTGAGTTTAACTCACTTCCATCAAGAGGAAGAACTGCAGTACCAGGATTTACTTATCAAGCACAACCATGAATAGAATCATTAACAATGTACTTGATACCGAAGAGCCTGAGACTCAGCCCCTCACCTGAAAGGTACTAGAAGCTACTCAAAGACAAATTATGCAGCAGTAGGCACAATGCTACAAGCAATAATAATACCTCTGAATATGATGTCTCCTTAGTCTTAACTAGGAAAACTGCAAAAAGATTACCAGGACTAAATAATATTCTTATGCTTTAATTTTGTTTTGATAAAAACTGATGTTTTCAAATTGCTTCATGAGGAAGTATTGTAGAAAGTTAAGAAGTAGGGGGTGAGAGGGTGAATAATGGGTGTCCCATGCCACAGTTATGTCTTTTCATCTGAGCATAGGAAGCCACAGGAAATGGGTCACTAGAGTTGAACAGAGAAGCCCAGCAGATTGGTAAGAAGAAGCTGGAAGGGTAGAGAAGGAGGTTACCTTGATAAAGCAATGGCTGGAGAAAGAGCTCAAGAGGGAAGTGAGACAAAACATAAAATAGAACTGGGTGATCTTTGAAGAGACAGAGGAAGTTGACAATGAGCCTAGAAGAGATGCCTCAGCCATAAACGGAGAGAAGAATGCAAAGATAACTCTATGATGTGAAATATTATTTCCTGAAAGGATCATGACTGGGTCAACAGAAATAAAGGACAAAATTTGATTTTCTAGACAAAACTTTGATTTCTGATCAGAAAAAAAGGGTTTGGCCTTAGATGATTTTGCTCAGTGGATAGAGCATTGGCCTGCAGACCAAAGGGCCCTAGGTTCAATTCTAGTCAAGGGCACATAACTCCAATACAGGCTCCTCCAGGCCTGTATCAGGGTGCGTGTGGGAGGCAACCAGTTGATGTGTTTCTCTCATATTGATGTTTCTATGTCCCTATCTCGTCCACTCTCTCTAAGAAAATCAATGGAAAAATATCCTCAAGTGAGGATTTAAAAAGAGAGAGAGAGAGAGAGAGAGAGAGAGAGAGAGAGAGAGAGAGAGAGAGAGAGAATAAAAAAGGATCTGAGTAGGCCAATGGTGCCACTGGTACTTACCTCCTGATACGCATCTCCTAGTCACCTCCCAAAGAATGAGCCCAAAACTGTACATATCGGCCATGATGTAAGACTGAAAGTGATTTCTATTCAAGCTCTCATCCAACACTTCTGGAGGCATATAGCGTTTGGTGCCAACACGTGTGTTGGGTGGTATGTCAACTTCATTTGTGTCGCTAAGGAAAAATAAAGCACAGCACAGTTAGCATTGAAGAGAACCAAGTGTCGAATCAAGGTGATTCCTGAGCCAGGGCTTTAGTGGAAGATGGGAAAAGGTATCCCTTCATGGAGAACCACTTCCTGGAAAAATATTTCTGGCCAAGAGTTATATTAAATATTCACAGGTGAAAACACAATGAAGATGACAATCTAAATACAAGATTGTACATTACCACTCGATCAAATATAAACTCTACATAATTGCTAAACATTAACTAAATACTTTTAAAAAAATCGTCCTGTCCTTCGTATTTCAATAACTTTCTTCTTAAAAATGGACTGTGCAATACAAAATTGGATTATGTGAGGCAGTATTTTTTAAGCCAAATGCTATGAGGGTTCTAGATAGCCAAACAACTAAAAAAGGGAAGAGGGAGAGAAAACCAACAAAAACTTGTAAATGTTTTACTTTGATAAGGAGGGACATCAAAAAGCTTTCTACTATCACATTTCATGAATCAAATAGCATATATTTATAATTAAAGGATATATATATATATAATATAAAATATATATTTTATATTATATATATAAAATATATATTTAAATATATATAATATTTAAAATATAATACTTTAAATATATTTTGATTTTTTACAGAGAGGAAAGAAGAGGGATAGAGAGCTAGAAACACCAATGAGAGAGAAACATCGACCAGCTGCCTCCTGCACACCCCCCACCGGGGATATGCAGGCAACCAAGGTACATGCCCTTGACCGGAATCAAACCTGGGACCCTTGAGTCCGCAGCCCGATGCTCTATCCACTGAGCTAAACCAGCAAAAGGATATATTTTTAATAAAATATATATAAAAGAGTAAGGGACCATCCAACCATCTAATACCTATGATACGCACTGACCACCAGGGGGCAGATGCTCAATGTGGAGCTGCCGAGCTGCAGTGACTTGCAGGGACCCTCAAGGGGCAGTCCAATTCCACCTTCCACCATGGGTATGTTGCTGCTGGAGCACTGTCGGCCCAGAATCTGGTTTACTGCACACTTGCATTTGAGTTCCACACCCTGTACCACAGCAACTTTGCAGAGTGCCCTCCCACAGCACTCCAGGACCCCTTGAGGGTCAAAGAGCCAGTTTTAGCCTGATCCCTGCAAGCCAGGCCAAGGGACTCCACCTGCCAGAGAGACCCCGCTCACTCTGCAGATACCCTTTGAGCCAAGGGCTACCCCAGGTGCTGCCAGGCTGGGGAGGGGCCGCGGGAGGTTGGCTCCAGGGCATGTCTGGCACATCTCCCCCAGTCCTGCTCTGCTGGCACCACCCGGGACCGCCCGCATTGGTCCCTGCACTGGAGCCAAAAGACCCGAGCGTGAGTTTTCTTCCTTTTCTGTCCTCTCCTCTGATGCCCTTTGAGCTGCAGCCACCCCAGGAATTCTAAATAATTTCCTTTCAAGGTTCACAAATCTGTGCACCGGGCCACTGGTTGAATATAATACCTTTATGAAAATTTCCCAACATGACCCACTTGTAATTCTTTCTACAGACTGGGAGGAAACTTGTGATGATGGACCCTGTCTTCAGGCTGGGTCTGGAGAACCACTGGGAGTGGGAGCCGCAGTTCTGCACCCGTGTTTCAAAGTGGTTGAACTACCACTGCCTGATAGGTTGATGATTAAAGGAGACATGGAACACTGCTGCCAGCACAGGGGTATGCGCATAGTAGGTTTAACAAGAACTACCTCAATAGAAATGAATGGAACTAGGACGAAGACCAGTAAACCCTAGTGCTGATGGGTGAAGAAACTACAAAACAGAAAAGGTACAAAAATTCATTAAATTGAAGTTTGGAGGACATCTTTGATAAACATTCCTATTTCCTGATTCCCAAGAAAGTGTCTGTGTGTTTTTATTCTTTTTATTTTCATCACACTCCACTGACTCTGAAGCACTGACATGTTATTTCTCCTCAACACTGAAAAGTTAGAAATGTGGGACATCCCCTTTATCTTGTGGAGTCATAGGCAATGTCAGGCTTTCACTAGTGGGTTTTTTTTTTGGGGGGGGGCTTCTTGGCTTGATTTTATTGCATCAAGCTCTGTCTTCCAAACATAAAATATGTAGTGACTTTGGGAGAATTTAAAGGGTAGCAAATGCCCCTTTGTAGATCTCAAAACTGTATACAGTTACTAAAACTTATAAACCCAAAGCTTCTGTCTCTGAACCTTTTAAAATTCACTTCCAGCTGAAATCTGTACTCTAAAGTTACCACAGCAGAAATGGCACAAGGGTACCCATAGGCCCCTTGTGATCTCCCAGGAATTGTGACTAAGAGAGTCTATTTTTCTAAAATAAAAGTTAAAGCATAAACTTATAACACTGAAAAATACCTAAATAGCTAGTATTGCTTATCATCTGTAAATGTAAGTCTTAGTGTTCTGGCTTCTTTTCTGTCTAGAAAAAGAAATCAAAACATAAATTCTTAGTATTTACCCACATGGTATAATAACAAATGTCATTTGTGTACCTAAGTCATAAATAGTGAGGAAGGCAAGAGGGCTGAGAAGATGTTGAATGATCAACTGCAAAAATATCAGATTTAAAAGAAGCTGCAAAAGCTCCACTTTCAATTCTGAAGTAAGGTCTCTCCTGTGAGCACATAGTAGGTATTTCATTAATGTTCTCTTTCTCTCTCTCTCTCTCTCTCTCTCTCTCTCTCTCTCTCTCTCTCTCTCTCTCTCTCTCTGTGTGTGTGTCATAATTTATAATTGTGAATCATTAGAGGAAGATACTGGTGACCCCAGATACAGAATTCTGAGTTCTCTGCAGAGAAACAAACCTGAGGGTTTACAGATGGAAAGACAGCAAAATGCCTAAATTATATTCCAGAACATTACTGCGAAAGGAAACTAAGAGCCATCTTAGTATGGGCCCAATAGGAGTGCATTCAGGTCAAAGATATACTCTGACCACAACCGATAAAGATTTTAGGCAATTCCTTTCCATTCTACGCTTAGCTCTTTAATGCATTATTTGTATTTGGGAGGTCAGAAAGAGCTAATGGAATGTGTGACATTGAAACATCAATGAGAAACTGAAAGTTAGTTGTTATCTTATAATAGAATCAAGATTTGTGATGGCCAGACTATATATAGTTCACCTCTAAGTTCTTAACCTTCAAACACTGAAAAACATACAATCAAGGATTTTGTATGCCCATCAAATCCCCCAAAACCAGTTCCTAACCAGTCTAGGAATGCTGGGCTCCCCTCTCCCTCTCCACCGTGGTGACTTTCCACCCTAGGTGATTTTCCTCCTGGTACTTGAATAACTGTGCTCCCCTTGTAGTATCTGTACAAATATCTGTCTCCCGCCTAAGATTGTAAACTCCTCTCAGTCCTGACTATCTGTCATAACCATTTGGCCTGTCCCTGAAGAGGAGAGCACTGATCCATCTCCACTCAGAGGCTGCTTTGCACCGGGGAGGCAAAATAATATACTTTACATGAAAGATGGAAGAGGATTGTTTACAGTAAAGTTCACTTTGGATAATTTAAGGATAAACGTTAAAGTCTCCATTATGTATAGTTCATAAATGAGATATCATTACTGATAAATCAGAGGACAAACAGAATTTTGTTAAGCAAATTAACTTGCAGATGATTACTATTAACCTAATGGCAAATGCCTTTAGCACGACATTGAAACAACAACCATGTTAATTATAAGTAATTCATATCGGATATTATAAAAGCATCAGATCCTCCAAAACATAGAGCTCTGCCTCTTATTCCCTCAGGAGGTTCTCTGTACTTGAAAGTAATTACACTGCATTTCTCTCTTGGGTTTCCAGAAATATTCTTACCTGTCCTAAATAAGGAGAGAGAAAAACTGAGCTTGGTAATCTTCTAGGCTACAAACAAAAAGTTAAAAATCATTGAGCACTGGGCCACCGAGAATAAAGGGAGAAAAAGAGACAGCAAGTAGAGCCAGATGTGCAGGACATGCAAACATGGGCGGAGAGTAACTGAAGGAGGGCCGGAGGGCAAAGAAGGAAGCAGACAAGGCAGGAAGGCCAGGGCACCTTCAGCGCCTCACCCCTCCTTTCCACTGAGATGGGAAGGGCTGAGAAACAAGGCTAGCCAGGAGAGATGGACACTCACAAGGGAGTAGTCAGAGAAACAGCTCCAAACCCATAACCTAATCCTATGTATTGCAGTGGCTGCACACACATGGAGTCAGTTTTGAAATCATGTACAGGGAAGATAAATACCAAATTCAGGATACTCGTTACCTCTGCCGGGGATAACGAGGGAAAAGTAGGGAGGGGAATACAACAGGACTATCTTCAACACTATATTTATTTTTAAAAGAAAGACTAGATCAAATAAGGCAAATTGGTAAAATCTGGTGACCTTAAATTATTATATGAGCCCTGGCCAGTGTTTCCCAGTGGTTAAAGCATTGACCCACGCACTGCAGGGCTGTGGGCTTGATTTGCTGTTAAGGACACTTACCTGGGCTGCAGGTCTGATCCTAAGCCCCAGTCAGGGGGTGTGCTGGAGGCAACCAATTGATAATCAAGGAGTGTGCTGGAGGCTATCTATCTATCTATCTATCTATCTATCTATCTTTCTCCCCATCTCCCTTACAGTCTCTCTAAAAATCAATGGAAAAATCTGCTCTGGTGAGGATTAATAAAAATAAAAAAAATTATTACCTAAGTGTTTCATTATTTTTTCTACTTTTTTATGTTTAAAATACAGGGTGGGGCAAAAGTAGTGTTACACTTGTTCTTATGGAAAATAATACAATAATTAATAAATAATAACACAAGAAGTAATTCTCTGTTTTGCATACCCACAACGGTAAACCTACTTTTGCCTCTCCCCACCCTATAAACTAGAATTAAATATATTTGAAATAAAAAGAACTCAGGAGGATTAAGAACAAAAAATACATACATTTCAATGATGAAAGTATAGGTTAGAGGCATAAGGCTCTA